TGCATCCCTTAATATCTAGTGATGTTAGAAGTGAAATACAGCACATTTAGATTTTCTTTAAATTTATTGTTTCTTTGTCTATTTCTACAAGCTAATCTCCGAAATTGATAGACCGATTTAAATAAAATTTTGCATGGAGGTAGCTTACATCTTAGATACTTTTAATCACGGAAAATTAAAGACTTCCCGTGAGATAGTTAAAAATCTACAGTCACTTATTTAGCTTAGTACACAACCTACTACAGTAAAGTCATTTTGACCTAAGGCAAACAGTGAGAACGACACGTCATTTGAAAACGGAGATGAAAGTTCTTATTAAAGTATCGTCATTTTTTAAGTAGAACAATGAAACGTTTTTTGGGTTATACTTAATGTAACTAAACATATTTTCTTCTCAAGGTCACTATGCGGACATAGTCGCGGGCACAGCTAGTATACTATGTCTTCCCAACTATTACCTGAGATAGAAGAGATATTGCCAATTGTCGATATCGTGTTAAACGCAACATTTGATATAGCTACATTTCACTTTATATATATATATATATATATATATATATATATATATATATATATATATATATATATATATATATATATATATAAATTCAATGTTAGGAGACAAGCCTACCTACAGTCAGGCATACAATTTTTTTTGGCGTCATCCAGATTTGATCTCACTACCTTTAGGATCTAATTCGTGATGATATGTAAACCACCCGGTCGCTATGTCTCAATGTAATAACTGTACTTTGTGAGAAAATAATGACATCCGAGCATCTGGCTGATGAATTGTTGCTTTTCATGCGGCCCATCTAGCGAAGCTCAAATGAATAGGGCTGTAAACATAACTACAAATGAAGTACCCGTGTTCGTACCGGTTACACCTGTTACTTAATCAAATGTATTAGTTACTACAGTATCGTTACGTTACTTTGTTAAATCAATGGTAAATAACGTATAATTTTTATATTTTACTTCTTTATTATTAACTACTTAACTATAATAACTAGGAAACTACAATAACTAAGTAATTGCAGTAAATAATAATAACTTCAATCACTATGAGATGCTATGGGACTACAAGAATTACAAAGTACCGACACGGTACTTAGTTACAAATGCTGTACTCGTTCCGTACCGTTTCAAGCAGCTCTAAAAATGAATTAGTCCAAACGAGAAAGAGATTACTGCAGTCTATAGTTACAGTAGGTATACACCGTAATATGATGACGCTATTGTGTATTACGATCTTATTGTTCGCAGTTTGCAGATCCGCACTTATTTATGAGATTCATTTTCGTATTTTAACTAAAAGAAATATAAAATTTCTTAATATTTTATAATAGGTATTCAAATTCAAATTCAAAATATGTATTATATGTATTCTTTATTCATGTAGGTTTATTACAGACTCTTATGATATGTCAAATCTACCCGTTCGTTCGGAATGATTTCGAGATGAGAAGAACGGACAAAAATATCAGATCGTATTCTTTTCAAATAAATGTTGAACATGTTTATAATAATACAGATTCATGTTTAAATTTAAATTTGGAAGAATAGAGTGACTACCAGCATATGCTATTGCAAAAGCAAATAGTCTAATCAGTGTTCCTAACCCGAACAGACCAGTCCACACAAGCAGCATCAGGTCACGAGTATGACGGATGAGTCAGCCATCATTGCACTCAACCATATTAGAGGGAGCACATTGACAGGACCCACCACGCTGCCACAAGTTTGAACTTTATTGCGAGCATTAATATTGAACTTTAGATCTTAGACGGAAACCCTAAAATAGTCGTCTAACTGTGACCTTCGTACTAAATTATACAATCGAATTCAACCCAAAGAAACAATCCGATTATAACTAAATTGCCATTTTCATTAGCCCGAAGCCACTGGCGGACACTGGGTTGGACCTACTTACTAATCTTATTATGTTATTAAACCTTAGGCTGGAACAAAGCCGTTTAATATAAGTTGGTTAACTCTATTGTGTTATGTCTATCTATATTTAGTTCTATCAATTTGAATTTTATTGTAATTTTGTAAATTAAAACGGGACTGGACTACTCACACAGCGCCATACAATCCCACATTAAATAATAACAATAATGCCCCTGGAAAATTCACACGATGTCATCTAGTCCCAAGGTAAGCAGAGCTTGTATTACGGATACTAAACGACTGATATAATAGTATTTTTTTTGTCAATATATAATATACATGGATAAGACCCAGACCGATGCAATTATATTCATGAATACAAATGTTTGTACTCTGGTGGGTCATCAATAAATAACCCTGGACAACTCACATAACAGGACAACAATACAGCGCCATGTAATTCCATATTAATTACATATAAGCTTTATAGCCCAAGGATAGGATAATATAAAACTAAATATTATTACCTTTTTTATATAATTGGAATTGCAGACATTCTTACGACTCACCTGATTGTAATAGGTAAACATCGCCTATATACATATATATCACGTTGTCATATCGCACAACCAAATTTTGGAAAACACACTCTAAAATTTCATGTTCTAACATTTGAAATATTTTGAGTTATTCTACTATTCTACTATGTATGCGATATGGTGGGCCGTCGAGTCGGGGTAGACTGCACATAGCGAACTCCTGACTCCGGAATAGACGCTTGCAGATACACCGTGTGGTTTTTAGTGGGTAAATATACTATACATCACCTCACCGTCCCTCTGCCGTGGTGATGGTCTTATTGATGATTGTCCACATGTAGCGAAAAATATATGCGATGCGGTAACCTTGCAGATTTTGCCAATCAGAAGAGGAAACGCCACTGCACATACTATGGGGCTGTAACCCTCTCTCATGCATAAACGAAATATCGCCTTTGGAAAGTATACACCATATCCTGAGGAGATAAAAACCATCACTGCTAAGAATATCCTTTAATTCTTGTCCCTTACGGGTCTAGGTAGCGAACTTTGAATTAGGGCGAGCACAATAGATCTATATAAGTCGCAGTGTTACAGGTCATAGCACCTGATAATAGTAAACCCCCCATAAAATAATAAAAAAGGGTAACCTTCATTTAAAATGTTTATTTTGTTTTATTCCTATTTGTTTAAATAGGAATAAAACTACAGGAGTACAAAGTCGCGGGTTCATCTTGTATTCTAATGAACACAAACCACAAACCAACTAAACTAACATTTCGTTACGCGGCCTCCAGAATCTAGCTCGAACTAAGTATACACAACTTTCTTGATAGGCACCTAACTTGACTTGATCCGATTGTCAGACTGCGAACGAACTGAAATATGTTAAAGTACGCAATGTATTTTCATCTCTATTTAGAGGCTATAAAAACTGTATTTGCAGAAAACTCTATAGATTTAGATATTGGTATTTTGGGTGATCGTCTGTCCTTCACCCCTGCTTTTTCTCCGTTTTCCGAGACGGTCTCTGTCTCTCAAGCAGGCTGCTTTTTCGACCATTATTCTTTCTTATCTATGCCTACGTAAGATACGACTTCTTTATTACGTACTAACCGTTTTCGGTGACTTTGCCTGCTCTTTTTGGGGTTTAAAGATATACTGTGTCCGTCGTCATAATATAATCTTTAGCTATCAAAATGTAATAAGATCTTTGTGTGATTAGTTTTGAAAAGACTACGAACAGACAGATCGTTAGGTAAACAGATAGGTACATTTCTCATTTATTGAAAAGATTTGTATTTTATTTTAGTTAACGTACTAATCCTGTAGGCTAGTGAGCGGGAATATGTGTCATATGTGATTTAGGGTTCTTTTCGAACTATTTCGTACAGTTTCATCAAACGATAAGGTACTTCAAACCCGCGGTAGGACTTATGGAGTGGCTGAAGGCCAACTTCTGCCTGACGGATACGACTTTAGTCTGACGGCACCGCTAAGGATTGATGCCTCGGCCCAGGCGGCCGTAATTTCGATCCCCCTTTGAATTGGACGAGGAATTGAAAGTAGTCTGTTTTCCAAAGTTCTTTCAAATCCGTGTAGTAGTTTTTGCGTGATAGAATAACAAACACTTATACAACCAACTTTTGCATTTATAATATTGGCAGGATGTAATTAATTCATAATTTTATCTAATTAACTTAAATTTAGGTAATTAATAGACAATATATGTACCTACTAGTAATGGTCGGTATGATATGTATTAGGTACATTTTAATTTGGGTAATATTTTTAATTTAGTTATTATATTACTATATACTTAAACGATAAAATATTTGGAAGTAAATGTAAGTAAAAATAACTAGTTTCGTACATTTGCAAAGAAGTTATTTTTGCATCTGTGCAAACTCTCTTTTTTTATAATCATTATAGATACATTGATACATATAATAATTGATTCAGTTCTCATAAGGGCGGTGCCAACTCCGTTTTATAAAAACGGTGTTCATTGCTTAATAGTGCCTATATAACAAAAAAATGCATTGAAAATTCTGCATCTATTTCTTATTTCTACAAAAGTTGTGTTTAGTGCGCGTGTTTTACTTTCGAAAGAAATTAACCGCCAGACTAATTTAAAATTAGAACGGTTTGCAATTGTTTAACTTTTAATTACTTTTCTTATAAATTGATCCTTGGAAATTAACGGCTGCGGTTATTTTATTTTTCTATTCTAAGTTGCTTTGAGTAATTTTAATGGAAACCCTTTTGTTTATTAGATAATTAAAAGAAAATTAAGACTAATAGTATTAAGTGAATAATTTATATTTCGGTTTGGTAAACGATAAATTAATAAAATTGTTCAACAAACCTCCGATTTGACGTTTATAAAAAAGTATGTGATCTATTACTGTATAAAAAATATAAGATTAATTGCAATAATTGCACCGCTAATTAAAAATACGTAACTAATATCATAGCATTTTTTAAAACGTATAAAATACAATATTTTCTGTAATATATCAATATATAAGTATACGATCTCTGCGATAATATAAATGTATCTCTTACCATGAATAAAGAGGTATTGAGCAATCCAATCACATAAACAGTTATCATTATCACACCCATATCCACTCGGCATCACCCTTATCACAAAACAAAACACGAAAAGTCAATACACGACACTTATTAATTGTAATATCGAAAACTTAATCACATGTCCTGTAGCCATGTTTTGAATTGTCATCCAATTCGAACCGTTGAATTTTTGAAATGATTGACAATAATTGGCGGGATTAAGAAGACGAGGTTTTATTCTTTTTTTTTATTGAAATATGAACATTGATATATTCGCGTACAGCCAGCACGCTTGCGCGGTTCTCCCGACATTGCGCGACTGAGTGAGCGAATGAAACGGACGTACTGCGATTCGCGTACCTGTTACATTTTTGAGGGTTCTGCGCTTGCGTAGAGGGAACCCAGTACGGAACCATCATTAAGTCTAGCAGTTATTAAGTTTGCATATTTCAGATAATTATATGGAGTTTGCGAACGTCGATGTAGGTAGTTGTAAATGTTGACTTTATGCAGTGCACATCACAGATTTGAGAATAAAATTACCATTACGGAACACATATAAATCGGTGTACTTATTTCTATTTTCTTCTGCGCGGTGCGGATGCGGCATCCAATACTATATATTCACGACTATTAGATCAGATGTGGTAATCAGAGACATTCCGTAGTACCGATGTAGTTGTGAACGCAATGCTCACATTTAGCTACATGGAATCCAATATGGCTGGAGACGAGCTTAGTACTGTCTGTCCATCTAATTTGTTATCGGTGTTTCCATCACCAGTTTTTAATTTTTTAATACCCACGGTAACGTCATAAGCTGGCGGGACATCAGTGCAGCATGATAGCATGAGGATAAAATCGGGTCAATTAGCCTATTGTAATGAATTTACCAAGACAAATATGACTTACGTAGGATTCACATGGATGTCGACCTGACAAGGTATATAGCCTTATTGCTAAATAAGGCCACTAGTTCAGATGACTAACAATTCGCTCTCTACGATGTGCTAATTGAGCTGAATTCCTCCCCTAGTGACCAAGCATTCCGTTACTGCAGGCGGGTGCTCAATTCCATTATCATCTAAAAATTCTGTAATTTTATTAATACTTCATTTCAAACTGGTGCGACCGATGCCCTGCCACCCACGGCCTAAGCCGAGGTTCGAACCCGTAACCCAAAGACTGAGGCTACTAAGTCCTATACACCAGGCAGGAGTTCCCTTTTCATATAGAAATCCTGGACAAAGTCTATTTAAGAATAGAATAGGATAGAAAATCATTTATTCAAATAAACTTACATTGAAGCACTTTTGAATAGTCATTACATTTTTTTAATCTACCGCTCATTCGGAAAGCTGTCTCATCACAAGAAGAACCAGCAAGAAATTTGCGTGTTGCTCTTTTAAATAATTTTATTATTACTTTACATTTTTAAGTTTAAGTGTGTGAATACAAACCACCAATTAGCACTAATTCAATTAAATACTCAAATAGAAAAAATTGTGAATATATAACCAACTGGTTAAACAATTAATAAGAGGAAATCAGTCATAGTGATTAGAGCAGACCAGCCCCTACAAGCTGCACCCGTTCACGAGTACGACGGATGAGCCAGCCATCATTGCGCTCGACCATATTTTCGGGAGCCCAATGACCCGGCCCACCACGCCGCCACAAGTCTGGACAAAATTTAAAAAAAGAATCATCAAAATCAATGCAAAGATTCAATGCAATAAGCACGTAGTAGAATTGCTTGGTAACGTAAATATTGACGTAACTCTAGTTATATTACACATATCTTACAAATATTTAAGATCAGTTAAATATGTCTTACATCGATATCCAAGAGATCAAAAAAGGAAACGAGAGCGATAGAAAAAGAGGTGGGTGGCATGACATAAGGGCAGTGGCTGGACCAACATGGAGAAGGAAAGCATTGGACAGTGGAACATGGAGTCTATTGGAGGCCTATGACTTAGAATAAGGTGATGAAGCCAGTGAAATAGCAATAAACAACATTAAAATTAACATCGGTATCAAGGCTACAAATAAATATTTGTATTGTTCTATCTGAATTTATAATTTTCAAGGTAACGTTCAGCTAAGCCCAATATTAAGCACAGGATTAACAAACACACTTTGAGGCGTCTTTGTAAGTAGTTAAGCCAAGTATATTATAAATAATTTGATACCGAGTGGAAGGGAATTGATAGTAATGTGCACTGATGACCCCATTGCTAGCAATGTACTCAGGTTGACCTCCACGCGGTTCCCCTTCGAAACCGTGATCAATTTCTGGTGAATTAACAACGTTTAGCTAATTCAAATTCAAATTCAAATTCAAATTCAAAATATCTTTATTCATGTAGGTTTATTACAGACTCTTATGATATGTCAAATCTACCGTCAGTTCGGAATGATATCGAGATGAGAAGAACTGACAAGAAACTCAGCTCGTATTTTTTCAAATAATAGTGGAACATGTTTATAATAATATACAGCCATTAAAATTCAAATTTGGGAGAATAGAGTGACCACCAGCATATGCTATCGCAAAGAACAAAAAATTTAATCAGTGTTCACAACCTGAACAGACCAGTCCCCACAAGCAGCACCCGTTCACGAGTATGACGTACGAGCCAGCCATCATTGTACTCAACCATATTTGAGGGAGCACATCGACCCGGCCCACCACGCCGCCACAAGCTTGAACTTTATAGCGAGCATGACTGACCTGACCTCATGCTCATCCTATCATCCTCCACTGGTTCCCCGCCATCGTAAACCGTTAGCGCAGGCAGGTGAACCATATTATTATCGTCCATTAAAAAAATTGATATGACCACAATTCTACTTTCATACCTATGCTGCTCTAATCCCGAAGAGCTTATGGATTAATATGATTTGTTGCCAGTGTTTCTATCACACTATGCAATTAATTTGTTTTTTTATTACAATATAGGGGCCGATTATTTGATCATTTGTTATATTATAATTAAATAATATAGTTTAAACTAGCTGTAACGGCAAACGTTGTTTTGCCTTAAAATAAAAATAAAAAATTAGGGTTGGAAAACCCCTAAAATTTAGGGGGATGAAAAATAGATGTTGGCCGATTCTCAGACCTACTCAATACGCTCACAAAATTTCATGAGAATCGGTCAAGCCGTTTCGGAGGAGTATGGGCACGAAAACTGTGACACGAGAATTTTATATATAAGATAATAATCCCGTGCATGAACAACTATTGATATAGGATCGTCATTCAAGTAATCGTTCAGCGAGTAGGCTTTGCTCAGTAAATATGATGTTTTGATGCTTTGTTTCCTAACCATCAATTCGCTTCTGACGTTTAATTGATCGGAGCAATCATATCTACAAAGGGTTATACGGTTTCACTATTTGAAACGTTTTGTAGTTGCATTTCATTGAAAATGTGCCGCGAGTGTAATTAAATTGTGATTAATCGCAGTTTTAAGTACAGTACGAGTTTATTTATAGCGCAATTCAGCACGTTATTAATTTATATATTTATTGTAGGTACGTGTTTGATTGTCTACCAAAGATTTGTACTAATTCTCTATGCTATAGGACTATGTATCCATATTCCATATCCTTGTATCAACTATTTAAAGTTCTATCGCTATATAGAGGTAACGTATAAATATATAGGTATACCTAAATGTTACAAAATTAGTTCTAAGGCATAGAGAATTAGTACAAATTTTGTATCAGACTTAAATTTTGAACACGAATAAAAACATAATGAATAAACATACATAAGAATTGGTCTTTGGTCTCATCACTTATACAAATATGAAGAAGTTTAAACATAGACTAGGCTGTATGGTCTAAGGATCTTTGCCTGTTCCATCATTGAAAAGGAGATGGACCAATATCTATGGGAAAAAAATCTCTATGCTACACGATCTGATATATTGAAACTTTTTTTCAATAATACAATGAATTTATTGAAATAAATGTATCATTAATATCGTCTTTTTCAGATCTTGACTACGACTAACGTAACTTAGTCGAAACTTGGTAAAAACTTTTATTTACAGTTATTCCTGTTAAGACCAGATTAAGCTTTTTTATGACACAACTCGTAAGTCCCATCTGATTAATTGCTAAATTATACCAGTTTAGATCAGCACCGGTTTTCTTTGTGACTTTGTAAATAATGTGTATTAAACACAAAGTTTAAAAACATTTAGTACATTTATGTGCCTAAAATGGAATAGCACTACCGATATCACGTGACATTCATATGACTCATTTAGCTTTAGAAAACCATTGGAATTTGGGGGTGGCTAAGTCTTGGTGAGTCAAGGGTTAAAGTACTTGGTCTTTTGTTCATTCTATAATTTTTCCACTGGTGATCCGCCAGCGTATACCATTAGGGCAGGTAGGCACTATTCCATTAAAAATACTGCACCTATAGTTACAAACTTAAAAATTTGATTTGTTGGACAATTGACTTTCTTTATTTTGTATATAGCATGTTATTTTCTAACATTTATTTGTAATATTATTGTCTATTACCTATACATATTCTATTATGCTATACATGCGACGCCTAACACTTGTTTCTTTTCCCTACCCAAAGGTTGTTGGGAAGATTGCTTGTTTGCGATAAGATCAGCTTTTGTATATCAATATATTTTGTCAGTATATTTCTTGTATTAGATGTAATAAAGAGTTTATAAATAAATAAACATTACATAATTTTAAACGTAAGGTAAAAATATACGATCCAGGCCATTTGGACTCAATATGAAGACAGGAACAGAAATGAAATAATACAACTATATAAAGGTCTAATTTTATTGGGTTCAACCCTGTTTCTGCGCTAACTCGCGCGCCTTCGCCTTCTCAAGTTTAGCGATGCGAGCGTTGGACTTGTTGCCTAGCACGCCACCGCCCCAGTGTTTGCGGAGCTCTTCGTACCGCTCGTTGAAGTTCGTCTTGATAGCTTCCACCACCTTCGAGAAGGCCGCCCGGTCGCCAGACTCGACCTGATGGATGTCCAGTTGTCAATTAGAAATAATATATAAAATTTATGATTAAGAGTGCAGTGGTAGCGTAATCAGATAAATCTATTGGTGGTAGATGAGTTAACCGCATGGCATTCAGATAGCAAATAAATCATCATATATACGTGTATATATTAAACTAATATATTAAAAAGCAAAAAATATTTGTAATTACCAACTCAAAAAATACTTTAAATAATTTTAAATATTCAACAGAATATATAATAAAGTAATATATATTTTAAACAAATTAAACATACCCATATATGTGGTATATGCATTAAATTTTGTAGACATAAAATAGATGTCAGTTATGTGTAAATAGGCTAAATAAAACCTTTCATACAATATAAATTATTAACTAAATAATTATTAAATCAAGTAGAGTACATAACACTTTAAGCTATAATGTATAATATATAGATTTCTAACATTAGTAAAAAAACTAAGATATAACATGTAGCATCTAGCTGTACCAAATAATAAAGTTAATTAAAAACACTACATTTAATTTTTAATTTTCAATAGAATTAATATTTACAATATCTATTCTAGACATAACTTTCAATTTACTTACAATGTGAGGTTTTCAATTTGGCTGTATTTTCTCGTTTATACTGATTTTGTAATTGCAATAAGTCTGGTCTTTTTGTAAACCATATACATAATTTCATAAACCGGTGTAGTACATACTGACAATAAAAATACAGCCACATTGAAAACAACAATTCCTTTGTTGAGATTAGTTAGAAATCACCAAGATAAATAAAAAGTACTAACATGTGAGAGTGCTAAACAGGTGCAGGTCTTGCGGTGTACCAGAGCTCCAAGACGCGATTTGCCTTTGACAATGCAATATGGGACTCCCATCTTACGGCAGAGGGCTGGCAGGAACAATACCAACTGTAAACAATATTAATAGTACATATTGAAATAAATTAGGAATAAAATTGGTTTAAAATAGAGTGTCCTTAAGCTCAGAGTCAACAATCTTCATGCAGCATGTCAACATAAATGTTTACAGCCTCAGGTGAAGAAATTCTAACATCACTGCAACCATTTTTCATGATTTCACTATCATTAAACAAATTAAATCAATTTCTGTTTTTTTTTTCAAGTGGATAGGCAAACAAGCTGCAGATCTTACAATTGAGAGAAGTTATAATCACTGTCTGTAATTATACAGCACCATGTACTTCGCAATGGTTCATAGAAGTCATTTGCATAGACTTTATATATGGTACACAGGTCAGTTCCTAGTGAAATGGAATATAGGTAATTTTTTTCATTCCATCTTAAGATATGTCATACAGAATTACAGAACTGACAGTATTTGAAGTAGTAAGATCCCATTAGAGTAAGAGCATAAGCCAAGTTCATTGGCCAATGGGACTGTTGAATAAAAATAAATTAATTTTGAATAATTTATATACATTTTTTATGTAATGACGCACATCTGCCATCAGTATACATATAACTACTATCATGTGATGCCCATCCTCATCCAAGCCAGGCCTCATCATCCATCATGCATTGTTATTCGGAGAACCAAGTTGTTCCTGTAAAGTTACTGAAGCATCTTACCCTCCAACCGCAAGTCAAGTAGTCTACAAATAAGCTTCTTTACAGCTCACTTAAATGGATAAGACACTACCAGTGTGATCACCCACCCAAACAATTTTATATGATCGCTACTCATGGTATATTATCAGTTTTTTAAAATAAACATCTATACAATTCTATACTTTAATACATACCTCAATAGGGTCAACATCATGTGCAATGACTACAAGCTGGGCTTTCTTCTTCTCAACCAGCTTGGTCACTGTGTTGGTACCAGCACGGAGGGTGTTGGGCCTTTTCGCTGGTGGTTCATCCTTCTTTGCAACCTGTAATATTATATTTTTTAAAGAAACATTCTACATTGTACTCAAATTTAATAAAATTATTACAGCATCAGAGATCTTGGTGGTTGAGAAGTCTTCATGGCTTTCTGACCTGTTTGTTATGCATCATGTCAAGTTGGCACTGTATTTATTAATAAGTGTCTACTACAATATTACAAAAGTGACATAAAGATATTTTGTCTACAATGAACTAAAGAAATTATTATTTATTTTAAAAATTTCTTTACCAATAGAATGCTTAAATACCAAGCAGTAATATGAATTTAATCTTTCCTTATATTATTGTATTTAATTGCTCTAGTTCCTCAACCAGATGCAACTTTAAAACACCTCTAATCACTCCCTCTATTCATCGGAGATAAGATCAGCTATAAGCAAACTATGTCTGTATAATCATTTTCTTAAACACACTGTCTGTTCTTTTTTAGGTTAAAGATGTCCTGATCTATCTTCACATCACATTTTAGTATATTACTTCTAAAAAGGTAACAGACTGACACACTTGCATATTTATAATATAACTATGAATTGTTCATATAATTATATTATCTATGAAGAAAAAATTAGGACCTACACATGAGTTTCATTAATTTTACTTTACATGATCTATGACTTATATTCTACCTTAGCTTCAGCAGCCTTCCTCAGACGCTCTTTCCTGACAGCTTCAGTCTCCGGAGTGTATTTCTCCAGAATCTTGAACAGGCCTTTAGCTGAAATAGAAACAATGGAAATCTATTAGTTTAAATTTTTATTTTATATATAAACATATGTTAAATATATAAAATCAGAGTTAAAAAGCTCGTATATATTATTTGATAATCATAGTGATTCATGATTGCATATGGAAATCATCATGTACAATTCAAATAGTTGTAAATGGGAATAACAAAGTATATATATATATATTTTTTTATTCAATTTTTGGGCTATTGCCAGGTGTTGTTGTTATGGATAATAATGGAATGGCGCACCCGCCTGCGCTAATGGTTTACGTTGACTGGGCACCAGTGGAGGATAATAAGATGAGCATAAGGTCAGGTCAGTTAGCCCATAGTGGTAAATTACCCATTAATTTATCACAATAGTTTCCAAGGGGAACCACATGGAGGTCAACCTGACATGGTACATTGCCTGCACTGTAACAGTTTGACCTACATAAATAGATTGTGCTCGCCTTTTAATAAAGTTCGCTACCTAGACGTGTCAGGGAGGGAGAATTCAAAGATATTCTTAGGACCAATGATTTTTATCTCCTCAGGATAAGCGTGTATACTTTTCAAAGGAGATATTTTATGCCCGAGTAGGCTACAATCATATAGGTTGTGGTATTAGCAATATAGATTGGGACTAAATAGTGTTGTGTAAATTATCATGACATTTTTTAAGTTAATAATTAATTCACATTTTTTTACCTGTTGTCTTGTCAAGTGTCTGGGTGAACTGGTTGATTGGTGGGGGCACCTTCAGACGGCGCTGCAGCACTGCCTTCTGTCGCTGGATGCGGATGTATTTGGGCCATCGCACAAAACGAGACAAGTCGCGAGTTGGCTGGATGTCCTGACCTGGTGACATTAAAGCAAATGATGCATATATCAGAATGATATCTTTGTTGTTTGAATCTATGTACCTACTAAAACACACTTGAACATGTAGAACATAAACATGTTCTACATAGGAATATTAGTAAGTAGTCCATTATCATAGACCAATCAGTGTTAAAAAGCTCGTAATTTTTCAACCACATGGTGGAATTCAGAATATTTTTTACATCATTTTGGTCTTTTATATATAATATAATAATATATGATACAAAATACTATACTATTCCATAAATAAAACTTATTTGCAGATCATGTCCAGGTTAGCAACACATTTATAAAACATTTATTATTGTATGAAAATTTAAAACTTGTACATCTTCATATTTCAACTCATTTCCATAAGACAAAATATCATACAATCTTATATGATAAAAGCAAAAAAATCATGTATTTGCTCAAGGATCTTGATATGAATGACTTCACCCAAACAAGAATATATGAGACACTATAGAGCTCATATATTCTTAACATAACTTCCTCAATGTTGGGTTTGCTTGCCAAATAAAGACACTTTTATAATTTATATTTAAGACTACATATATCATATATGTGTGAAAAAGTGAAATTAATAAATAAAAATATGCAAAACAACAAAGTTATTATATGATATTTTATACATTTAAACAAAGACATAGACAATATTGTTCATGGTCATTGTCTTTACAAATACAGTAACCTGGAAAATTTACTGAGCCATGCTTCATATTTCACTCTCTGTACATAATTATCTGCGACACAGAAAAATTAAATGTGCACGCAATTACAATAGACACTCTAACCTTAAAATTACATGTTAACACATCATCTTACGGGATGATAAAAAGCGCCCATTCACATTTAGCAGAAATCAACACATTATTTAGTTAATGGTCGCCCAACACTAAATATTAAAGCTGAACACTTACCAATAGCAAAGTTCTTGGTCCTCTTCTCAAAAAGTGGATTTACAACCTTTTTAGGTTCAACTTTTTTAACCACCAAGGGAGCCGCGGCTATTTTCTTCCCTACCTTCTTCTTGGGCTACAATAAAATAATAGAAATGAGTAAAAACATATTTACTACAGTTATCATATGAATTTTACAATAATTATCAGAGATCTTGGTGATATTCTGAAGGTAATCATAGAACTTCATGCGAAATTTAACATCACGGTAATTTGAGGTTATGTTGTTACAACCTGATTACAACATTTCACCCCTAATACATGCATTAAAAATAATGTTATTGATAATTTCTAATACAGCATCCGCTGAGCAATAAATAACCAAATAGCTACATACGTCGTACGAACGCAATAATCAGAAAAACATCATTGGGCTAACATGGTAATTTAAAGTTCAAAGGATATTCACTTGTTAACACAAAAATATATCAATTAATTAAACGCACATGGTTTTTACCTTCTTCTGCACCATCTTGTTTGGTTTTTGATTAAGTGATTAATAGGCCACGAATAGATACGTGACCTAAACAAATTATCAAACTATCGGCATAAATGGCCGAAATGAAAAGAATGCTAGTTTTTGAAATGACAGCTATCTGGGAAAAGTCGTCACTTGTCACAAATTTAAGTCAGATACGTCAGTCGAACAGTCAGTTTTGAAACTTGTCTATGATCAGTTTCGATGTAGTTGTAATTACGGAAATTAAAAGAATTTATACCATATGCCAAAGCAATAAAGTTAATAGTTAATTTAGTCCATAGATTCAATAACTGAATTCTCGTATGAGAATAACGATTAAGGATTTCTATCTCTTTCGCACATTATTCACAATATTCTTTTAACATTGTAATTTAAACGTAATTTAAAGACGTTTAACTGTCTTGCAATGCAATTACAGTGGCCATGATATTTATGATGTAAAGTTTAAGTTTGTGGTCAAAAATCCTGCAATTATTAAAATAATCCAAGATTATTAATTGACTAATATAATAATAATAACATGAACAAAATCTAACTAACTATACTTATGGGTAGGTATATGACAACATATGTACATATAAATAAAATTGGAGTGTCTGTTTGTAATATTGAAATGATCGTTTTTTACTATATGCGTATAAATATAAATACGGTACACACTCCAAAATAACATGATTTACAATTTTTATCTGTCTGTCTATTTGTTCCGGCTAATCTCTAAAATGGCTAGACCGATTTTGACGGGACGGACGGGAGGAGTATCTTAGGATACTCTTATTTTAGAAAAATAAAGTCAAATTCCACGCGCATATAGAGGAAGGTGAGATATAATGATAGGGATAAGGGAAAAACTTAGCTGTGGCTAAAGTTGAAGACAAAATCGCAAGATTTCTGTTGATAGAGGTAGTGAATTTACTTAACTTTGTAACGGCATACTTATTTTTCTTGATATGTATGTAGTTTTTTTGTATTAGAGGTTTTTGTAAAAGTTTATTAAGGGATCATTTTATACACACCTATGTATAAAATGATCCCTGAGGTGTTGTAAAATAATCCCAGGGATCATTTTATACCCTAAGTTAACAAATATCAGTGAAATAAAACACTCAGCTTTTAATATTAATCATATGTATTGTTCATAACATTTTAAGTATGTAAGCAAGTTACACAAAATTTTTGCAGTCTTCTAGTTTCATTAGGGATCTATTTAGTAATTATCTATTACTCAATCAACAAAATTAAACATTAAACATGGCAACAAACTTTTAAAAGGTTTTAGAAATTAACAACATACCTAGTCAAGGAGTAGGTAAACAAATAAACTCTTTTTCTAAATAAAAAAACACAAATAATACTCATCATTATCAAAAAGCAATAGAAAAATCAATTCTTCATTAAAAAAAAACAATAATTTTCTTATCAGGAACTTAGAAATACCTACCTAACTGTACACGCGACATCGCGTATAGTAGTTAGTTAGGTATATATATAACCCTTCTTCTTTAATCACTCTATCTATTGCTAAAAACTGCTTTAAAATCCGCTGCGTAGTTCACAAGACCTAAATGAACAGACAGCGGACGTGACATTATTTTATACTAAGTGAAGATATCACTTTAATATGCATTTAGAATAGTAAACAAATGGTTACCCTAGCTGGATGGGTACCTGTGGAGGATGATAGTACGATGAGGTCAATTAGCCAAATTCGCTTGGAATTAGTACGATTATTTCCAGTACGGAAAACGGGCATCCCGACTTAAAAAATGTGCGGTAGATTAAAAAAAATGTTATGACTATTCAAACGTGCTTAAATTAAGTTTAATTGAATAAAGGATTTTCTATTCTATTCTATTCTAAAAGATACATTGTTGGCAATAGGACCACTAGTCTACTTCTCAAACTTTAAAACGTAAATTACACACTTAAACCTCAGAATTATACCTACTGTTGTATTATGAAAATGACATAAAACTCCTTCATTAGTTTTGAAATTACCGCGAAAACACTAATCTGTATATATAGCGACAAACGGGCAGGTCTACAGACCAAATCGCACTCGTAATCGTTTGTTTATAATTATATTGATAGTTGCATATTTATAAGTAGGTATAAGCGTTTTTGAAGCGTATAAGAATAAAAAGAAATAAGCTTGTTAATATTATGTGGCACTATGTCCACATTTATTAAGATTAATAGTGTGTGATTTATCTCTCTCTCGTCCTAACTATGTATCCTAAGTGATGATGGGATCAGCTTTCCTTATTTTTAAGTTTATTTGATTTCTAATCATCAAATAAACGTTTTAACTATCTATCATACCAAAGCAAGAAATTCATGCTTTCATAAACGCAGAATTTCTTTCTTTCGTTTCTCCTATTTTATACATATAAGTGCCTATTCCTACTTCCCACCTACACCTACACGTTAGACCGACCTAAATATTGTTCTAGCATTGTAAGCACTCAACAGCAAGTCAGCAATATTTTTCGCTCCAATTTTCTCGTAGATATTGTATAGTATTTTGTTTTATTTCAATGTCCGATATTACTTGTAATTTACGATCTACATTTTGTGTTGAATCGTGAGGTACACGTAATAATATTTTATTGATATAAAAATAAAACATTGAACAATGCTCGCTTTTTATTTCCTTGTACCATAAAGTCGTGATAAAAGATTTAATGGTAGAAGTTGTACTGAAACATGCATTTCAAGATATATTATATTGAAATTTTAGGTAAAGTTTAAGCTTATATCCGTGTGGTATTAACTCGAGTAGGTAATTATTTATTTTACTACTAGCAGACCTGCGCAACTTTGTCTGTATTACACTTTGTTGACATTTTCGCGCAATTTACATGATATCTTTTTAATTTATAGCCTATGTGTTATTTGAATATTATGTACTTTTTGCGTGAAAGAGAGACACATATCCATCCGTCCGTCTATCCATCCATACTCATTGTGAGTATCATCCATTGCGTTTATAATATAAGTAAGATTCAAAATTGATAATGTCATCTATAACAATGATTTATATTTACAGCAATATCATGTTTATCTGAAGCCGTGAAAGTAAATATGCACGGTTCGCTAGTTCTTGGGAAGGACGTAGTGGACACTATTTCAGACTTTCTTGGAAATTCTTACATAACCGGAAGACGATATTTAAGAAGTAATAAAGTAGACATCGTTACTTCACTAACAGAATCCTCAAAACTTTGTGATTCCTTAGAAATTTGTAACGATAACCTTGAAGAATTTGTTAATCAGTACGTAATCATACTCAACAAAGCGATTGAAACTATTCTTGGTGGTGACTTAAATCCAGGTTCAGGGAACAAAATACAGGTTGAAGAAAGTGGTTTAGTATTCGTTGAACAATTTAAAGATTTACTTAAAGTTATTAAGAAACTTTTGAAGTCTGCAAACAGTAAAATAACAGATAATAGTCATAATTATATTTGGACTGATATCGTTAAAAAAATAAGTGCTAAATTTCAGCATAAAGCAGTCACATTTATTAGAGATGAGATACATGGTAATGATATCAGTGAAATAAGAAAGAAGTTAACTCAGAAAATAATAATTGCTATAGTAGCTGTCGAAGTTAGATTTCTATCAAAACTTTGTTTTGAATACAACATTTGTGCACAGCTCAGTTTCTGTACAAAAGCATTGAACACTATACTAGAACGCTTCGAGACATTGTCTGAAAATAATACTAGAATATTTGTTAAAGCATTCTATGAATCTTTGCTTGATACAACGTTTTATTCCTTGTTAAACGATGTCACGGCAAATGAATTTCAAATTATCTTAAATGATATGCATTATTCTGAAAACATATCGGCGAAGAATATTCTTCATTCCGTACATAAAACTGTCAAGACCAGAATTGAGTGTGTTAACTCAAAGACGGATATTACTAAGGGTTTTGACGTTAAATTAGTGTATATTATTTTATCAGATATGGATTATATTACTGACCAACACAAACATGACCCATTTCAGATATTTACAAATCAATTCCTAGACTGGGCTAACGGTGAAGGTAAATTAAAGAAATATATTGATCAGGTCATAAACAAGATCAAGAGTATGCTATCTAATATACCAACAGAAGTGACACTGAAATTAATTAATGAAGTGAGAGTATTTTTGGAAATAACAGTAGATCCAGAATAATAAGTGTTTGTTTCATTTCTTACAACAAAAAATTACTTCTTCTGTTGTCGTCCTGACAGAGTGGTCGTGGCTTTCGTGGTATCAGACGATGCTCTTCAACAGGTAGTATCATTTCTGTGAAACAAACACTGAAGAATCCAATGCATGAGATTGTTTTTTTTTTATTTCTATTAGTAGTTGTAAGCAAAGAATTTCTCAGGTTAGATTAAAAAAGCCCAGGAAAAGCTTGGTAGGATAAGTGTTGTGTTCACCACGGCATAGACAGTTGACCATGGTTTGATTACCCCATCTTGAATTTAGGTGTAGTTATAGTCATAAAGTAGTTTCAATTACCCAATTGTTACAAGTTATGGTGCATACAAAAGGTATAAAAGGCGGAATTTCAATCAATAGGCGTTTTCCAATTAACTTTAATCAAGTCTGGTTACCCGTTCGCAACACATAATTGACGGGATTCCATTATCATAATGTAGAGCCTGGGCCAGTTTCCTGTTGGTTTAAATAGTGCAGGGGACACAGTACATTTGTACATGTACAAAATGTCATGATAGAAAAGTACCTTATATTGGGAAGTTTCAGAAATGATACGTCGATGCAGTGGTACTTTTTATTCCTATTTTTATATTACATTCTACATAAATTGCGTCGCTGTACATTCACGTCTGCTCGTCTCGGTCGCCTCGAAAAGAGTGAGAACAGCCCCCTCGCTCCTTGTTCCCGGCCTCTTTATATCTACTACTATTGGTGGCGGCATAATCGTGTCGCCACCAACATCACGTGACTCACTATGATTCCAAATTTGAAATGTAATATGTTAAAAGGATATTGATTTGCCCATTTTTTTTCAAAAATACTTAAATGGTTTTGAATGTTTGCCTAAGTTAAACGTAATTTAAATATTTTTGAATAAATACGAGTAGTCACATCAATATCCTTTTAATATATTTTAATTTAAACAGTTTTTGCATGTAAATATGAATCCCAATTTCCCTTGGTCACGGCATCACGTGTGAACGGCTTCGTGAATTCTTTTTTTGTTATAATATTATGGCGCTGGATACAAGTTGTGTTTGTTATTGCCAGTAAAATATTCTTATGACAGAAAAAAAAATCTAAAGTTGCTCGGTCCATAAGAAAAGTTATGTTTGTTAAGTATTTTTCAATGTTTGCTCATATATTTATATGTAGAAACAATATCCATAGTTATGATAGGACAACGACTGTCAGGTCCAGCTAGTTATGAATAGTTAGCTAGTTATGGTCGCCCACTGATGGAAATACGAAAAACCATAATTCATTTAAAGTATAAATTTGATGATTATCCAGGTTTAATTGTTAAAAGCTTGCTTCACGTATTAATATATAAATTACTTTGATAACAGCACAGAAACAAATCTCAATTCGCTAATTTGACAATTAACAATATTGAAATTACATTGACGTTTTATTATCAATCGTGTAATGTAATGATAGTGTGTGTAATGTTTTATTTATTGATTTAATATATTTTTAATGCATAATTGAAACTCGCAACTCGGTTTCACTCGCGTAAAATTTATAGCCTGTATGTTATTCTGATGTTTAAGCAATATTAGTGTAAAGTTTCGTCAAAATCCGTTCAGTAGTTTTTGCGTGAAAGAGTAACAAATATCCATACTCAGAAACTTTTTCACGTTTATTATTAAGATTACTTAATTTTTTTTGAAAAAAGTGACGTTTTTATCACTGATATTTATAATACGTTAAGTATTAATATATAGATATTTAAAAAGTAGTCTCCTAAACTATTATTCAAACTACGGCTAGTGAAAATAGAAAACTATATTCATTATTTAAAACAAACTTTTAGCTGTATATCCATTACCTGTACATTAACATATACATTACATATATCTGTGACAGGGTGAGAAGCTATGTTAATAGAGAGAGTGCTTTGAATAAAGATACGGCCCTTACTGTAATGTTCCTTACAATGCTTGAAATGCTTATTAATAATAATAATAATATCATGACAATTTACACAGCGCCATCTAGACCCAAATTAAGCTAGTTAAAGCTTGTGTTATGGGTACTAGATACTGATATAAATACATAGATACATTTTTTTTCGTAAATACATACATATTATACATAGAAAATACCCAGACCGATACAAACAATCATACTCAGGAATACAAATGTTTGTGCCGTGCAAGGAATCGAACCCGCGACCATCAGAACAAAGGCGGTGTGCTAAACCGCTAGACCACTGAGGCCGTCAAATTATTGTATTCATGTTTTATAGGTTGACATAATAATAATCTCAGAACAATTCACACAGCGCCATCTAGTTGGACAGCCATTGGAGCCCATTAGAAATGGAGCTACTAGAGTTGTTCAAAATCTACCCTATACCATCGTAAGCACAGATTATTATATTAGAGCCCGTTAGTTTGTGATCCCGCGGCTTTCCCTGCCCCTCCATTACCTAGTAACAGACGGACTGTACGGCGGCCTTGACGCGCCCGCGGATGTGATGTGAATTAAAATAAATTAGAACTGGAAACCCTACTGTGTTAAACCTAACCTGTGTTACCTAACGTGAAAGTGTGTGAAAGCTAGCGAAGATATCTTCGAGACCCTGAAGCCCAAGAAATCCGCAGAACCACACAGGTACGCCAGACATACTAAATCCCCCTACAGATAGTAAATTCCCTAACATTTTGGTAGCAGAGTAGTACCAACCGGAACTATGTCATAGCAGAACATGAAATTATAACAGCAGAATAGATTAAATAAATAGCAAGAAATGACAGAAAGGTCTTTCTATAATAATATTTATTTGTTTGTTAATGATTTTGAGACCTACATAATAAGATGTTATGGAAAATTTGTTTTCTCGCACGATGCAAACATTTGTTTATTTTGGTTTACATTTGATTCATAAATAGAATTATTTGTATCGATCTGGGTGTTCTTTTTATGTGTATTATATGGATATATAAAAATATCTATGTATTTTTATCAGTTGTCTAGCACCCATAACACAAGCCTTGCTTAGCTTGGAACTAGATAGCACTGTGTGAACTGTACAGAGTTATTATTATTATTTATTTCCTATTTCACCCCCTTCCACATTATTTCTTAAAATAAAAGCTAGGTTATATCCGTCTATAGGCTGTAACACGAGATATATAGTAGTAGGCTATATCTGGTACGGGCGGACATAAGCTACTATACCTTCTTGATATAAAATGTTATTAAATTCCGTTTAGCTGCAGGTTTAATCATGAACAAACCGACGTACAAGCAAATTTTTACATTTATATTACTACCTGTTGTCTGTGATTTCGGTCTGGGTGTTTTTTTATGTGTATTATGTATATGTTTACAAAAAAATATCTATGTATTTATATCAGTTGTCTAGTACTCCTAACGCAAGCTCTGCTTAGCTTGGGATTAGATGGCACTGTGTGAATTGTACGGGGTTATTATTATTATTATTATTTTGAGTTGGCAGGTAATAAATCTTGCCTAGTCTTTGATATTTATTCTATGACGGTATGGTGTCGTATACTAATTTAATTATCTCGAGCGATCGGCCATGTCGTTGCTAAGGTAACGGGCTAACCTATTGCTTATATCAACGGTTTTCCTATAATACGTATCATAAAGTAATGTATAACTATTTTGTTACAGGTACCTACCTATATTCTAGTATTATTAAGACACTTATTTGTTTTAAGCGGGGGTTATGGATAGTTTCGGATGTAGGTATGATTATTATACCGGATACGGATACGGATGTGGATATGAAATTATTTCGGATTATCCCTTACTTTCGGATATTTTCGGTTACGGATATTAATTTTTTAAGGAATTAGGCTCGGCCCCTATCCGATATTATCCGAAACTTTTATTTCGGATATTATTTTATATCGGATATCTGATAGTTTCGGTTACGGTTATAGAGCTCCCAACATCCCTGGTTTTAAGTATTTATATATATAAATATAATATCTATCTATTACTACGCAAAGCAAACACTTTGTATGCCTTTTACGAAAATCCGCGGACGGAGACTGAAATTTCGTGCATTTATTTTACTAATATTATAAAAGTGAAAGTTTGTGAGTATGGATGTATAGATGGATGGGTGTTTGCTACTATTTCACGAAAATGTTACTGAACGGATTTCGAAGTAAGTTTACAGTACCCTATACATCAGAATATTACATAGGCTATAATTTGAAAAGATATTATGTACATATGTAGAGTGATATAAATAAATGGATGTTTTCTATTAATTTTATTAATAGAAAACATCCAGACCTATACACACAATCATACTCACGGATACATATTTGTATCGTGCGAGGAATTGAAATCCCGACCATCGGAAACGAAGTTCTCAACCACAACCACCAAGGCCTTCAAATAATGTTGAGTAATTTTGTGGAGAAAAAATATGCAGCAGTGGACTAATATTTGAAGAATGAAGAAGAAGAAGAATGTTGTGCAGCCAAAGCAGCGTGTAACAACGTGTATTATATGCAATATGTATGAGAAATTCAAGCATTAGTGTCCAGTAGTAGGTAGACGTCATTACTGAGGTATCTACATATATGTTATCTTGTATATATAACATAAGGACGTACCTACACGATCATGTTATTCAATCCCGTCCCGGGAATAACGTAAATAATTATTTCATCCCTAATTGGAGAATTAAATTTCTAATTAACTAATATTATATATCTATAATAATGAATAAGTATTGTAATAGATATAGATACGAAATAATATATACATTTTTTTTATTGCACTTTTAAATACAGTTGTACCAAATAAACAATATTCTTTCTTTCTTTTCTTAAACTTACATATATACAGAGTGAGCAAAGGTTAACTTATCTCTAAAAGAGATCTCTACTAGTCAACCCAACAATGTGGCATAACTATTAGTGAGTGGGTAACACATGTGCAATTAACAATATTATGTTGAAATGTCCAAAATTTGA